GGTTACGCAGGATAATAGTAAGCAAATAGATTTCTTCATATCACATACACTACAGTACAACATTTTGGGGTCTGTGATATTTAATCAAAAACACAATAAAAACAGTAATATTGTAAAATATTATTACAATTTAAAATATTTTGTTCTATTTGAATATACTGTAAAATGTCATTTATTCCTGTGATGGCAAAGTTTAATTTTCAGTCTTCAGTATCACGTGATCCTTTAGAAATGATTCTGATTTGGCCCTCAAGATTTTTTCTTCTTATAGCTATTATTTTAAAAAGAGTTGCATGCATAAAATGTTTGTAAAAACTGTGATCCGTGATTTTTTGATGAATATAAAGTAAATAAAACAAAACAAACAAACAAGCAGCATTTAAATAGAAACCTTTTGTAACATTAGAAATGCCTTTACTGTCACTTTTGACCAATGTAATACATCCTTGCTGAATAAAAATATTAATTTCTTTAAAATATGTATCTTACTGACCCCAGAATTTTGAAAACTAGTGAATATGCACATTCTATCACATTCAAATCTTGAAAAGACAAATATCTTGTTATTGGCATGTTATTTAAATTCAGAATTTCTTATGAAGAAACTTATTTCCCAGGAAATGTAGTGTTTCCAAGCTGGTGAAGATTTAAACAGTGCCAGTGAGTATAATGTGAGGTAACATGTTCAGATAGTTTGAGGAAGGTTAGAGGAAGTTTCACAAATGTCTTCTCTGCTTTACTGAGAGACTGTAAATAATGTTGTTCATTACTTCTGAATCTAAATGGTGTTCCATGTAGTACCATATTTTATGCTAAATTCAATATTCACTAAAGCTGAACGGCTTGTCAGCTTCATGCAATTGAACATTCATGACCTCTCACATTCTCTGTCTCTAACTGGGTCAAACTTGACAAGCTTGTCAAAACTCCCCAGAGAAAAACCTTGAGCTCTGAGCAATGTACAACAGCGTTTAGCAACATCTGTTTGTATTGAAAAAAAGTTCATTTGTATTCTTTTATGTATTTAATAATGTATTGAGAAAAACCTAAAACCATGTAGGTGGCTTCTCACAGATCAGTATTGTTATGAATCAATTTTAATCAATTTTATAATCAAAATTTATATCATACGCTGAACTTTTTATTGCTAAAAAAAGTTACTCATCAGCTGATCCCAGACCTGCTCATAGAAGCATTACATGTGTGAATCAGGGTCAACCTTCAACAGCAAGAGTCTTTCACAAAATAGCTAGTGCAATAAACACTATAGGGACTGTATAGTAGACTTGTAATATGTACAAGCATGTATTTTAGGCTTTTGTAAAATTGTAACTCTTTGGACAGATAGCTGAACATGCTGCTGTACTAACACATTCCTCTTTCTCATCGCTCTGTGTGTGTCCCCTGCTGTACATACTGTTGGCTGAGCACTGTCTTTGAGTCTACACTTGAAATTACAAATGGGCTAAATCATTTAAAAAAAAAAAACAGAAAATATTACACTGTAAAATGGACTTTGGTGCCTTTTTAACCATGTATGTCATTCTAAAAAGACAATCCTGCAAAGCTTGTATACAACCAAATCACAAGTAAATAATCTGAAAAATGACTAAAGAGTGGACTCTTCTCTCACAATTGGGATTTTTTTTTTAAATATAATTCCTTTCGAAGTCTTGTTATGTAGCCATAAAATTTTTATATATATTATAT